TGCAATCTGCTCTTCAACCCAAGCTGTTGATGCGTTAACTGCGTACCCTCAAGTGTGATGCTCAACAACTCTTCCAGGAACAAACTGTATATTGACATGAAGCTGTATTCACGTGGAGGTGTGTGTACATTTGTTTGTGTGGGTAATGGCGCACAGGTAGGTGACGCGGGCTGCGTCGTGGTAGCAAGCGACACGGTTTCAGGCGCCACAATCTAGTTGGGCGCGGGACGAGGGTGGGCACACGGTGATTGGGTGAACATGGCTGCGTTCCACCTTCTCCGGATCCCTTCTCACCGAGTTCAAACTACTCATTACGCAATCAGCAAGGCCAATTGAGCTACAAGGAGTGCAAATATCTAGATACAAGTATAAATAAGGGCGAGTGGCGCTTGAAGACATCCTCCTCATTCTTCGTTGTCTTTGGTGTTTTCCAGGCTGGAGTTGGAGGCGCTCTTTTTGGCTCGGTTCTCGAACTCCTTGAAGGGCGACTCGTTGATGATGATGTCGCGGTTGGCGTCCAGAGCCTCAAGAATGTGCTCGCCTGAGGGATGCACGAGGTCACACCACGTGTCCCACAGCGGGTGGATCACGAAATCGATAAAGCCGATCTAAAGGCCACAGAACGCACGCGTGAGAACACAGCCTCACCCCTTGAAACTGCTAGGATTTGAAATAAATTGCAAATAACTATGTTGCCAAGAATGTGAATGTTGGAGTGTTATCATCTGCGCAGGATTTCTACTTCCAATTTTCTATGTCCTTACTCCACTAGCTGACAATGGCACCATATAGTGACGAACGTAGGACGTAGTAGGACTTGCTTATTCCAAACGTGATGGATGGTAATCTTGTTACAGTGTGATGGTTTATTGAAACAGGTAAATGAGTGAATGTGTTTAGTTGGAAATTGTTGCATTTTTGCCCTTTTGCCTGTTCCTTAAATGTCGTTTCAGAATGGAGTTACAATGTAGCCTACTCACTGCTGCATGAAGATATGAATGTTAAAATGGATCACCACAAGTCTGAAAGTGACAACAGTTCCCTACAGCATTATGTAAACACTTTGGCTGCGTACTTCTGCGTGACAGAGCAAACTCTTGCATCTTCACTGTCAAATTATTTCGAAATGTGTCACTGTACCCAAAAGAATTCACGAGATGAAGGCCTTTTTTGAAGTCACTCAGACCGTCCTGTAATTCAAATTTAATCATTGCTCTAGGTTAAGAATGAATTAATTTTTCGTTAAAAACAAACAAATAAAGAGATCCAGATTATTTACCCACGCAGCATGGCTTGAAGTTGCATTCGTGTAGCTTGCAAGCGCGTTTTATAACGTGTTTTTCCATCACAAGTCTCCATAGAACAACCGGAAATGAGCACTAACCTCCCGCAGATGGAAAGGCAGTTGATTTGGTGTGGTCAGCCTACAGCCAAGGGCTAGATTACACTTGTGCTCCAGTCATCTGCAGACCAGGCTAGCTAGCTGATTGGTTCTGCTTTTGCATGTGACGTACTCATGTGACCTTCTTAACTTAATCCTTCCTAGCTACGTGTAAACTTTAGTCACGTCATCGCATTGACTTTGGTTTGCAGTCCAGACAGAAGGCGATTGAATTACCAGGTTCCTCTCTGAATCCGATTGGCTAAACTTGACTCACGGGTGCTTTTCATTGGCCTCCTTCGTGCTGCCCACTATGCTGTCAGATTGCATGGTGTCAGAAAGGAATGAGGACTTAAGTGCAGCAATTTCTAGGACTCCTACCTGAGTTTTGTCGACAACCACAGAGTCGCGGTCACACATGGCGCTGACTTCGAGTCCGAGTTCCTTCTCCTTGTCGCCCTGTTTGAAGAACTCCTCCATCACACGGAAGGTCCACTGTTTGTAGATCTCGAAGGGTTTCGTTGGAGTGCTTAAGTCGGCGCAATGCAACATGCACTGCAGAACCTAAACATGGAAATCGTGCTTGATGTACCAAAAACCTCGAAGTTCCTGGGTCAGGACCAGGGGAAAGTTGTAACTTTAAAGGGCTGCACAGCATTCATCTTAAACCTCTTACGCACAGCAGGAGACAACGCAAAATTACGGGGTCAATCGCAAACAAAAGAGCCTGTTGAAGGCCTTGACATGTTGTCTTGAACCACGCCGGGGCCACGCTACTCTGTGTTCCCGGGAAGATAAAGAAGACCGGAGTGGAGAAGGCACAACCGTTTACTAGACAGCTTGTAGTAGCTTGGTCTTGAACCTTACAACCCTCTAATTAACAGCTCAAGACAACTCGAGTAGAATGGAGAAGAGGCGACAGTGGACACGACCGTTTATTAGCGTCACGCCAGCCAAGTGTGTGGATGAGTGAACGGATGACAGGCATCGGATACACTAACCAATGAAAGGGAGATGAGTCATTGTCCGCGTCAGGTCAGTAACCAGGGTTCGCTCAGGCGCGATCGCTGTTAATCCGCTACAACCTCAACCAAGTTGTGACTTGATGACTGATACAGTTGAGTGTACTGGTAAAAATATAGGCGTCTGAATGGTCACATGGATAGAGCGGATGGTGGTGGTGGTGGTGGTACACACAGAGGTGTTAATGAGCAGGCGGTCCCAGTGACTGACGGGCACGCTGTAAAGTGGGGGACGTGTGTGAGAGGCTGCGACGACCGGGGTGTCTAGCGTGAATCAACACGATTCACTACAAGCCAATCAGGTAAAGAGGTCACGATGCCAAAAGAAGGTAAAGTATACGGTTAAAGTATACGCCTAATTGAATGGACAGTTTGGCTTTACGACAGTAGCCGCCTTTTTAATAAAACACTACCACATGGCCTCGAAAGCTTAGGCAAATAGACTGATTTTTTGAGGTGAAAACAGCACACTTCAATATTAATACACTCTTCATCACACCTGGATCCTAATTTAAAGCTATTTTGTCAAATTTCTACTCCAAAATCAATGAAAAGCCATCCACTGTAAAGGGGTTAAACCAGTTTTCTTAAAATACACTGTCGTGCAAGGCAAATCCCCGCCTTGCTCACTAAGAACTGGAGAATTTGGTGAGGGAGCATTTGCTTTAGGGTTTGTTGTATCGGAGAATAAAATCTCTGTTTTGGAATTTGCGCCTCGTAAATTATGGAGGAGTCATGCGGGGATGCACCGAAAACGGACTGCTTCGCGAGTTGAAAGTCACAACCATAAACGCAGGTGTGGCGCCGCGATTTAATTAACGAAAAACGGGCATGTGCTGTAAAACCAGAACGATCCTTTTGGCACTGCACCTCTCCCAAAGCCCTAATCTAATGTGTGTTTTGTGTTAAGTTGTAGTCATGTGACACAGACAGCAAATGCCTACACATGCACTAGCCAAGTAAGAACAGTTAAACGAGGACTGAAAAAAACCTAATATTTACGGGGCGATTATTGTGGAAAGCGTCAATTTGCGTGATTAAACTACCCGGTTTCAAAGTCTCCGAGTAATCGTTCGAACTGACATTGCGTAAAATAAGTCGCCGTCTGAGCCGTCAAAACATTCCCCGGAGAACGCGAAAAAAAAATTTTGACAAATGAAATAATCAAAATGTATTTTTTTTCCCGATATACGTTATCAGCGAATAAATCGGCTCGTGGTGTTTTTTTTAGGCGAAAGCCTTGTAACCAAAATCCTTTTCACGAAAAAAAATGAATAAGAGAGGTGCAACCGAATCTATTATTGATTTGCAGCAACACATAATTAGAGAGCGAACAAATCAAATCGTGGTGGCTTTGTTGATAAACTATTCATATTTTTTATTATTCCTGAAGTTATTGATACAGGTATCGGTTTTCGATATCCGATAACTGATAACCGTAATCCGATTTGTAAACTAACTGCCAGTGGCTTGCCAATAATTAACAACATTCGGACAAGCCGGTACAGATATGAAATTAGAATACCAGTTTAGATAATTTATTTTTCGAAAAATTCCTGCATTTGAATGCAACTCGTCTTTAAGTGAAGATTGATTTCGTCTCCACACAGCAACTCTAACAACTCTAACAATTTTCTACATAAATATGCGAGGAAAAATTGTCCATTGCGACAAAACTTTTGAATTTATATTTTACGCTAAACAGCTTCATCGGACGAAAGACATTTTCGAAATAATTTGCACTAAAACTACAGATCTATCTTATTCAACAGCACCTCACAAAGTATTCAGTGACTCACTTGTTTAAATGAAAATCAACTTGGTTTAGGCGGCCAATGACTGAGCCAAGGTACAGTTTGGTTTATTTTAACTCAATAGTCAGGTCGATCACGCGATTCGTCAGAGAGCAGTGGCTACCGCCAGATTAATGCGCCTTTAAATAATCCTGAAGCATAAACTGCACCGGTCATGACGCACGTTTCAAATGTCATGCAAGATAAAGTTTGAAAATTGCATATTTTTGTTAACTAAATACGACTGCTGTTAGAGAAAAAATGGGCTCATATTTTGAGGATAATCGCAAGATTAATCTCGAGGCTATTTTATGCCTATAACCCCAAGCATGCGCAATTAATTTCAGTCTTAACATTTCTAGCATGAACCCAACTAAACGACATTTTATGTTCCAAATAAGTCAATAAATAAGTTGGCAAAACGCTCCACTAAGGGCAGTGGAAAAATGTGGCATTTAAGGCCCCAAGTAGAAACGTTTTAGGGAGCATAGCACGTCAAAGCGAGTCACGATTTCCCGTTAAGCTTTCCTTTCTGCTCGGCTAAATGCTCAACCCTGTTGCCACATTTAGTGGGGAATAAATTAGTCTGAAGGGTGCATTTATCACAACAAACACACTCGAGAATCAGACTCGTAAGGACAGTACTTGGATTTTGTCAGGAGATGATGTTTTCACCATACCTTACCATCCCTTCCGGTCTCACTGAAGTTCGGCTTTTAGAAATTAGGTCATTTTGAAGTAATTGCCGGGACACTAACTCTTGCGGAGTGACAGGCGAGAAATATTAAAAAAAAACCTGAGGAGAAGGGGAGGTCGACCTACCAAACTGCGATCATTGTGGTCGTCCAGGCTAAGGAAACCCGTTCCGGTGAGTTCCTTAGTTTCCACCATGGTTCGCAGTTCCGCCAGCAGATTCATGTGTTTCGACATGTCTGTAGCCAGAACCTGAAGAAGACGAAAAGCCATTGTACCAACGTGAAAAAGATTCTCACGAAAGTGCTCGGTGTGACCACTGCTGATAATACTGATTAACTGCGTTTTCTTCTGGCCCCCGATCAAGCCAGCGTGTGTTTGAAAGCGCTTTCCACAGACGAGGTGATTGGCACAACGTCTTTAAATTACTGGTGACTCTTAATTACAACAGCTCGTAAACAATTTTAATTAACGAAATTTACCCGCATCTGTTCTATTAAAATGAAAGAAAGATATTCCTTTTTTCGTTTTCCACGACAGAAAAGAGGAGTTAAAATTTGGCTGTTATTGAAATTTCAGCAAAGTAGGCTTGTTTTGTGTCACTCGAGGGAATTTTTTTGCGTGCAAGTGAAATAAAAAAAATCGAGAAATGTCAGAGTAAAAAAGAGACCGATTTATTTTTATAAAAAATTGAAATTTTGGGTAGCAGTTACTTCGAAAATGCTGCGCTTTCTTCCTGACAATGCTGTACTTCCTAACATGCCACATTTATCCCTGCTCGAACACTTCACAGCGTCTACAACGACTGTAATGGAATGTCGGTAGTTGCGGATAGAATATTGACCAAAGTGGACTGTCGTTTAAGTACCAAGAGGCAAAGTACACTTCAAATATCGTCCTTTTTCAAACGAGGCATGGATAAACGGGATCAGTGACGCGAACGTTTGGAACAAAAAACTCCCAAACGGCTTCTCCCAATGAATTACTTATTTGCAGTTGACAGAAAGTAAACAAGCTTATCCAACTAAATGTATTTCCTCAACGCGTCATTGGGTTCCACCAAAAAGGCATGCTGGATTAGATTTTGAACATCCTGTATCACCAATACTTTAAACCATCTATTGTAGGTAGCTGGAATGGTATTGCTGTAGGTGGTCATAGATTTTTACATCTGAATTACTTTGAGTAGGAAAAAAGCTATTGGGTAAAATCATTCCCGCCAGAGTTTGGTTTGGCGTAATTTTATTCCAAACACCAACAAGATAAGCGGCAAAATTGTGGTTGTATGAATGGGTCAGAGACAATCGCCTTGAGCTTTCGTATTCTTCAATACCTTATTCAAAAATACGCACAAATACTAAACACAATTTTGTCCACTTAGATGTCAAATCGCGCACAAAAATGTCCCATTTCACATAACAGAAGTCGCTTTCTAATCAAAGCCACGATTAGGTGACTTATGGCATTTCGGAGATTTTGACACGACCTGTCGATCCACCCCTTGGGAACGGAATTCCATATGACACCGCAGTGTCTGCATTCAAGCGAAAAGCACACCATATTCCTGACATTCATTCAGCGCGGTCGTAAAAAGGCGGCTGATGGAGATTTTGGATGAAGGAAGTCCCTTCAACACGCAATCGTAAATCATAAGTGCGCTACCTCCGAAAGGTAAGGCAAATTACCGGCGTGTCGGGAAACAGTCGCGTCGAGTAGCCTAGCTCACCTGGGGCTGCGTATTCTCTCGTCTGCGTAATTAGCATGACCACGGTTTTGACGCAAAATTGATTTTTTTAAATAGTCTTGCTCGCGAAATCTGAAGCTGTTTTACTGAAATTAGGAAAGTAATTTGGCTTCGCAAAACGACAAAACCTGAACACTGACGATAATTTTAAAATAATCAATCAATAATTGATAAAATAAGGAACAACTATTTTGAATAAAAACTCTGAAGGATAAATTTTTATTAAAAGGTGCATTTTTCTGAAATCAGAACTACCCGGATTTTCAAAATTCCGTTAATTTGAGGGCTTTTTGACACAGAGACAATCTGCACTTTCGTGGATTAAACAAAGAGGATAAACGGATTGATCTAGATCTTAAGTTCATTTTGCACTTCAGTACATCATGAGATTTGGTAACTCTCAATTACTAAGTAATATAACCTGAGGCAATTAAAAAAATTGTAGTAGTCTGTAAGGTGGAAATGCAAGTTTGTGAGACACAAACAAGACTATTTCACAAACAATAACCTGTGCAAACATGTGCACTGTTAATCATGATTTGACCTCTTAAATCATAGTCGCCTGCAGAAACTGTTCCTCATTTGATCCCATTTGAATAAAAAATCGATAAAACTGATCAAATTATCACTGCGTTTTTATAAAAAAAGTCCAAGTGACACGTATATTGCAAAAGTCTAGACAGTCGTGCTTGCTCATCCATGATTTTAGACCCAAATCAGGTGCCATCTTTAACCGACAAATGCCCACACAGGGTAAAGAATGATCAGGATACTGCTAGAAAACCAACATACCAGTTCAATAGCTAGACGCCGCAGAAACTGCCTTTGTTTTGGCGCGAGATTAGCAAAGATATCACAGCCTGGCTCCGTTAGCAGTTTGAAAGCCACTGATAGGTGGTGGTTTTCCAGGACAGACGCGTCATTGTACAAAAGCGCCAGTTTGTGCCCTAAAATGCCACACCAAGTTGCATTAAAGCGCACATGCGGATTCACACTTGTAGCCAATCCCTGCCTTTGTGGCTCTAGATCACGACCAGTCGTGATTCATTTCCTCACCGTCTGGTGTATCTGTTTGGTTTTTCTTAATCTCTAGCTAGCCAATTTTCTCTGTTGACGTTGTAGACAAAACTTTATCAAACGCGTCTTGTAAGCAAACCTCACACAGAAATGTCTATCTGGTCGAGCGAAAAACCGTTTATTTCCACACCAAAGCACAAAGTAGGCACGTGGGGAAAATGTTTTCAAAGCCCCACGTTTTTGTGAGCCATAAATTTGTTAAAGGAGACAAAATTGCCAGTTGTAAGGGTTTCCAGCTGTTTTCTTTGGCTTACTCTTCAGCACACAATCGTACGCCAAGCAGTCGAGGGGAGATGGGTGTGTACCACCCTAGCCCACACATAAATCAATGTTCCAAGTGCATTTGATCCCCATCCTAACACCGTGCCTCGTCACCGTGTCTACGAACACAGCACAAGGGACAGAGTGAAAGCCGGAAAAAAAAATCAATATGAGGCCGTTAGAATAGACGTGCTGTGGTGAACGCAAGCTATGGTGCTAGGGTGTGCGCATCGTGTAACCACTTTCGTGATGTCCTATGAAAAACCACTAACATACACACAACTCCGCGCCTTGAAAGGTTAACAGGAAGGCAGTAGCCGGAAGTACATGCGTGTGTGTTGTTCACAAATTGTAATCATTTTTAATTAGAAGTATGCATCACAGCCTCCGGCACTTATCAAACATCGTGATCGGGTGTCCTTGAGTTGTGATTGGTAGGCACAAGCAACATTATTCTGTAGGTTTGTAGACAACAAAAATAAGCTCTTGGACAATAGACGGATTTGAATATGATTAAATCACATGACACGTTTTGTTTGTGAACGCAGATGCGCTTTTGTCAGTCCAATAACAAAAGGACTACAATGGTGCCATTTAGAAAGACATGACCTTGTAAAAAATGGGAGACAATTTACCTGTGTTGACGAGAAATTGGTTTGTTACACCGGGATGATGTACGTCATGAATTGCAGAGGCAAATAGCGTCGTAAGGATTTCAATGTCGCTGAAAACGCCCTACAGACAGAGGAATACGGACGATTGTAAAATTGGCGCTAAATTTTTTTTTCAGTTAAAGGTCTCACTACTTTTACCAATCTTGCGAAATAACTTATGATCGTTTCATGGCCAGATTTATACGGATGACACCAAAAGACATCCACTCCCCAGAATTAGAAGCAAGTGTCAATCGGTTAATTGATTTCACGAAATTCGAAATTGAATTTAAATCAAATAAACAATCGCTTACATCAAGGGTTTCGGCTTGGAGGAGAACATGGACAGCTTGGAGGACATCGGCGCCGTGGATGTGGTTGTGGTAGGGGTTCGAAATCTGATAGGATGATTCCAATCGAAGGATGTAGGTCACGAAGGTTGCCGGATCGATGTTGAAAGAACTAAAGAGTCCACGATTCTGTGTGGATTTAAAACAAAAAAGTGAGTAAATGGGGTTGACTTGAATTCCTTGGCTGTCGTCATGTGAACACACAAAAGAATTATGGCAAATCTCTTCCAGGTAAGTGATATTATCACATAACAAACAACGGTAGCATGAATTCAACCTGATTTCGATGTGGGATTTCAGGGAATTTAGTCTGCCATACCAGCCACTGATTAACTGACCTTGGCAGGAAGTCTAACGTCACGTGATTAGAATCTTATTCGTTGAATGTTACTCTCTCCTGTCCGCTGCTTCAAACGCCAACAATATACAGAAAATGGACTTAATTACAATAAGCAACCAAACCCTCGTTTGTACTTCAGGAAAGTTCGCAGGTTTGTGACTCTAAAGGCCTTTTTTTCATTGGTACAGTATACCTGCGCCATTTGAGAGATTACAAACCAAGATAGCTGAGTTAAAACCACTGACGAAACGCACACCCTATCTTAATGGAGCACTCACGGAGGAATTCAATTTGGGCCAAAATGTGGAAATAACTTTAATGGCATCTGCTAAATTCGCGCTGTCAGTGCATTTTAGGAGTGAAGTCTTCACGCACCGAAGAAATGCCATTTAAAGTTGAAGCATGAGAAGCTCCTGATGCGATTTACCACACAGACCTCGTTGTCAAAAAAAAACAGATTGCGTGAGAGAGCTGAAAAAGCAAGACACTCACGGAGAAAATGCGGTAAGCCACAACCGTGAGAGAATGCTGGTCCGAAAGGGCGTCTAGGCTGAACATATTCAGGCCCCACGTATCCAGAGACTCTTCGAGTTCCTAAAAAAGATGCCCTTTTTTTTAAAAAAAGCACCTCCGAATTTTGGTTATAATCTCATACTCTAGCTGAGGTTTGCTGGAATCTTTGATGCAAATTTGCTGATTGGGGATTGGTCAAATAGGGTCGTTGAGACGAAGTCTGTTTCACGAAACGGGAAGGTTTTTATACCAGTAGTGACTGGAAGTGCAGTAATTATTAATTTGTAAGAAATTCTTCTCTGAAACCAAACTAGGGCTAATAATTGTGGTGCGCTATTGTGCCCAGAATGAGTGCACATAGTGCCGATGTCTTTGAAGAAGGGACAAAATAGTAGATGCTGGTTGCAGGATTCACACAATGTCATTTCAAGAAGTTGATTAATCGATCTTGTGAACATGTTGAGGCCCCAGGTATCAAGTGGTTCTCCGAGTTCCTCAAAAACGTGCTCCTTTTAAAAAAAAGGAACTGCGAGTTGGTAGGTGGCAGAATTCTGGTTATAATTGTAACCTCTAATCCTGGATATATTGGAGTCTTTGATGTAAGTTTATTAATTGGTGGTGTGCTAAGAAGGATCATGAGTGATCAGTGAGGTCCTTGGAGCGACATTCGTTTCAAAAAGCAGGATGCGTTCAGCCACTACTAATACAAGTAATAATTAGACGTGTTTTAATTATTAATTTGCAAAAATTATTCTTCGATACTCGAATATTAGGCTCAGCAGGAGTCTACCGGCACCGATGTCTTTGTACAGAGGACACCACTGTCGATTCACAATTCGAGCCATCAGTTTTGTGATTAGATGCCAATCAGCTCGCAGACAAACCGCTATTTACTTGGCGTTTTAACAGCAGACCTCTTTTGAAGACACGTAATTCCGTTTGTGCGGACGGAGATTGACACGCATGTAGGTCAGTGAAACGCTACAGGAGCACTGGGTCACTTCAATGAACCACATTTTAGCCAACTTCAAGATGTAACTCCCAACGTCATTGATGGCGGTGGCAAGTGATCTACGATAAATTGACTTCTTGCAAAACGATTTCTTTGACATGTCCTGCTCAGTATTTTTTTAAATTTGCTGCAGTAGATGACTTGGAATACCTTCAAAAGTCGCATGCAATTCCACCGAATTCATATCCCACTCTTTTTTTGATGTGACTCAACCGTCGACTTGAGTTATCACGGTGGCATCATGTTTCATTGATGTCATCGTTGACAATTTCATTTTGATTACTTCAAGTAATGAGTCGATTTTAAATAAAGGATAATTTCACCGCGCTTGAGATTTGATCAAAAAATCTCCTTCTTTGCATCTCATTGGATGGGATCAACTCATGGAGTCCAATTCAGCTTTATTTTACAATTTCGCAGAAAATGTCTTTTAACTTAAACCGTTTGACGTCTCCGGATATCAAACGCAAATATTGTTTAGAACCCGCGAGCATTTATACAAGGCAGTTATGAAGATTAGTTTATCAAAGACCCATAGAGGTTTATCAAGGCAACCTGGCTATTTGTGTCCTGAGATTGTCGGGCTCAAATCGCAGTAATTAGAAAATCGGAAAACGGCGAAGTTTAAGAAAAGTGTTGCGTGTGTGTGTGTAGATTCTGCCCCACTAACCTCTATTCAGAGACAATCTTTTTCAATTAGACACTAACTACTTGATTTCTGTGAAAAAACAGAAAAGCAGGCGACTGCAATCTCAGGTCCTGGGGTACTTTTGTTTAACTTTAAGTGTAAAATTGGCATGGATATGGTTTTACAACAAGCTGTAGTCGTAAGTCACACGTGCAAGTCAAATGCAATGCCAAATCGTAGTGCAACCTCACTTAATTACCAAGGAGGCATTTCACAGACGCGTGGAATCACTTCAGAAAGTGTAGCCCAGTCGATGGAACCACGGACGACTGCTCGTGCTTGGATTTGCTCAAACGACTCATTCTGAGTAAATTGATCGTGTATTCGATCTTTCGATTATTTTTAGTCTTTGGAGTTTGGCTTCTAGAATTTAGTGTTGATTCAAGTCCACCAACCCAGTTGTCGCAACCTCAGACTCGCCGTCCTCCTCTTCTCATGACGTCCTCATTTGTCACGTGAGCCGTCTGCTCACCCCCTGTACAATGACCGCCCACGGTTTTCATTTCACTCATCTGGCCATTCAATCATTTGTACTTTTAAAAGTTCACTCAAGCGACATCAGCATCGAAACGTCGTCATCTCAAGTTCTTGAAACTTGCGTATGCCACTTGTTGGCATATGTTGTTATGATCTTTGTGTCCAGAGTGAGAAACTACATCTGAGCAGCTGCCAGTATTTAGGAGTGTACTAACATCAAACCATATGGGAGAGGGACGACTTTTTTGTAGAATTTTATTCAAGATAAATTAGAAGCATTTTCTGCATCTATATTTTTAAGTTTATAGACCAATATTCACGAGTACGTGCAAACGATTAACTTCGCATTACTAAAAGTTAAATTTTGGGGCTGATTGTCGAAAACGCCGGCACCAAAATCTTGGTATGAACATGGAACGAACAAAAGAACATCCTTTGCATTTGTCGAGAACTACGGCATCAACAATTGCACTCACTGAATGTCCAACAAGGATTATTCCAAAGCACAAAATTTAAAGCGTAGACAGGATGGTGTGTTATCAGTTGCCAATGTGCTTCTTACCACAACGCATTTCTTGTAAAATTACCAGGAACTAATGCGTGAAACTTTTGATAACACAGTTACCTTCCGGACAGCTGCGTCGTTAGAGGTGGTGATTCCGAGATAGGGAAGCTGTCCGGATTTGCTTTCGCAGACGGTTGTGTTGGGAGTGGTCACAGAAGAGGTTGGGTCGGTTATGGAGGAAGACTTGGTGGTGGTCAGCGAGGCGGACGCCTGTCGATCGGGCCTGGAGTGCCGCCTCGACGTGCGGCTTTCTGCCTCGTCCACAGAGGACTCCAAGGAGAAACCGGTCACATCGGTTCGGGAGGTGCTCAGCCCCTCGCTACCACCTGCCAGGGCGTTTGAGCTGCCTCCGTCGTTGTTTTCCTGCTCTGAGTACTCATCTGAGAGAGAATGGTAATAATTTGCAAAGAAATACACCAGCGTTAGCCATTGTCGCGAGGATTGCGTCGACAGATTCATTTTGGCCACACTTCGCATTATCGATTTACAACGCGGATTCGAGTTCCACATCTGGGCGTGTACTTACGATCATTATCTACATGCTTGAATAGTAAATGAAGCTTGATGATGCGACCACAGAATAACTCCAGGCTGGCCAAGAAGATGCTGCTTACGTCACTTTCAGCGGTATTAATTCCTTTCTCACTTTAACTCGGTGTAAATAAGTGTTGGGGGGGTAAGGGAGGGTCTAAAATGTACCTTCTTTGGAAAGACAAATTCTAAACAGGTATGCATTGGCTTTTGTGTTAATTTTTACCTCTCATATTGTTAGATGTACCAAATTAGTTGTCACAGAGTCTGCGCAAACAACTTCTGCCGTCGCTGCTAACTTCCAAAACATGCAAGTTAATAGGCTTGGACTCCTAATTGCAATACTTGTCCCGAATATAACGTAAATAAACAACCTTCACGCCCACTAATGAATGCAGCTTTCTATAAGCAGGTGAAGAGTAACTGAATGAATTGACATGAATTTAACATTTTCAGAAATTCATCCACTTTAACCGAAAATATACTCAAATTTATGATTATGCTAAACCACGCCCTTAAAAGTTGGTATCAAAGTTCTACGGCTTGTAATAACTGATTGGTTTGAAATTCAGTCATAAATTACCAAAGCAGGTTGGTGATGTGAAATTTTTTGCCTGGTGTGTGCGTTCCGCAAGTTTCGAGTTGCATTCCACGGCATCTTGATTGACACCAAGTTTTCGAAAACCTGGTACGTTGCCGTTCTTGTCTATTACTCGCAGTAATTTGTTGTGCAGAGTAAGAGTATAGAATGTTTTATCCAACGATTAAAACGTCACTCCTTTTAAGAAACGACAGGTTCACTGACCTTCCAAAGTTATTCATGAACATTTCAAAGTCATTAAATTTAAGTTAGGGTAGGGTGGAGACATGCGTGTGTGTGTGAATATATCTTCAGACGTCCGCAATAGGTAGATTGTCTGAAAGCTGAACTGGAACACGAAAATAACAATACTGTCGCGGACAAACGCATCTTAATCATACTATTTCAATTCACAAGTTTTGGGGCCTACAGAAAAGATATTTGCTGCCTTTGCCGAAAATGTCAGAACTGACAGCAGCTGATGTGACTTTGCGCGGGACTGGTGCGTCTGCCATCTTGAATGCTGACAAAGTGCACGCTTGCCTTAACGGCTTGGGCCATAACCACGTACGCACAACCCAGGAAAGGGTTTTTTGCGCTAGCTTCTCTGACTTCTGTGTGCATAATTCAAGCCTTTCATTCGGTTTATGGCCTGGTCTAACTTCCGATGCAGTTTTGAGATCAACCATTACCAACTCACCCATAAACGTTTTGGAGATGTACTCGGAGATTTGATTTCGCGTTTTGTCTGTACTGGTGAAATTCCCCAGTTTCTGGCTCAGCAGCCGTTTGAACTAGAAAACAAGCGGGGAAAAAGATGTTCAAGGAATCACTCACTATTATTCATTTTTTCAAATTTCACAAATTCTTGATGTATCCAGGTTGCTTTGCAGTGTAGTCTTTATCAAGTGTCCATGTATAGCAAATCGCGTTTAATTCATGTCCAACGACCCTGTCGTCGCAGCCCCACACACAGTTCCCTCCTTTCACTGCGTGCCCGTCAGTCACTGGGATAGCCCCAACTCCTCAGTCCCAAAATTTTGCGATTTCGAATAACGTTTGAGATCATCGCACTTGTATGTGTGAGAGATTATTGCATTATTTTGACTGCCTTCACGCCTACGTGAAATGCTCTTGGACAAATTCCTGAGTGTTGGTTATCTCAAGTACACATATTTCTTAGTTAATGATTATTTACCAGTTTGACTGTTAGTAAAATTTCACCCAAGTGTATACACTGTTGTCTATTGTCGCACACAAAAGGAATGAAATACGACTTAAAAGACAACCGGCTCAAAAACAATATCGAAGCAGGTGGAATCGACACAGAAATTAATAACTATTAACAGACAAAGCAGTAGACTCCAGTGGTCTTGTAAGTCGCTATACACATTGGCCAATCAAAGTTCGAGGCATTTTGTGCAAGAAACGCCTTAGTCACATTGGCACTGTGCTGTGCGCAGTTCACGGGCAACGTTACGTCACTAGGGGATTAGAATAATGCCATTTGCATTCCAGAACGTAGCGGTTTTGTGATTTGTCCGAATTCGCAGTGGTTTCATGTGTCAGAAGGACGACTGGCATTAGCTCTTCAATTGGTGATTGCTAACTAATGACCGCTTCCCATGTACGACCTTAGTCAGGTAACTGGAATATTTATCGACACAAGGTTTATTGATTTCTGCAAAACATAATAAAGAAATCAATCGATTGCTCAAAATTTTTTTTCTAAAAACTGATTTTACACGTTTGGGCTTCGTTGTGCATGTAAAACCTAACCCTCAAAACAAAATATTAACGATTTATTCCCCTAGAGTACATTTACATTTACGTGTGTACATTGCGAACTACACACGTCGTATAATAACGGGACAAGAGGCAAACTGTGTCTCTTGTGTTTAGTGTTAAAAATTAAATAACCGTAGTCAATTTGTCCGCATCTAGTCGGTGTTTCTCACGGCATTTTCTCTTTTGACTGCTGTTAGTAAATTATTCATGCAAACATAAACGTAATGATAAGATTCACCATTACTGCTTTAACAGGTCACAAAATTCGTAGAGGTGAAAGCAATGAAGCTGCGTAGTTTGCGTCTACTTCTTACCTACACGAAGGTTATTAATTAGCCAAGTATGTTCTTTCTAAGCCCTAACGTTAACACACACACACACGCTTCTGCCGCGGTGAGGTTAATTTGAAGAGTAAAGAGAGCATGAGAAAGTGCCGTTTTTTCCATAGCGCAAACTTAAGTGGTCAGTCAAATTTGCGAATGCTAAACTCATCAAATATATTCAGAAAATTCAAGATAGCTACTCAAATTGTTGCCTATCCACGAATCAGACAGCAAACTACATGACAACTGTTTAGTCATGTGGTGGATTTACTGCATTTAGTGAGAGAGAGAGAGTGAGTGAAGATATGCAAATTTTTAGGTGGCTAGTGTGTGTTCAGAGAGCACATTCATAGTTGTCATCACACTTTGTTAAGGTTTCCATTTTTGGCTCCAATACCAGAATGTTGAGCCGAAAGAAATCAACGTTTCCAACCTCCGATTTCTGCGGCAAGCAGAGGAGACGTCATTGGAGAAAAAAATTACGAATTTAAGGCAGCAATTCGAACCAGCCCTTTAGCTGACTTTAATGGGACCGTTTGAACACGACTTTATGGTAAACAGAGCTGGAATTAGGACCACAAGACAGTGTGCTATTAAGAGCAGTTAGTTCCATAGGAGTTAGGGAAAATCCAAACCCACAAATCAAGACAAGTGGTGCATCAATGTAGATAAAGGACCAGACGGGTAGGAGGAAACGGTCGACGCCATCAGGCTTGTTTTAATTTTTGATTCTAACTGAGCGCCGCTTATACTTTGGTCACTATGGAACGCTGGTTAAAGCATGCAAAACGGTGAGCCCCCATATTTGTTGAATACGTTAAATGTTTAACATTTACTGTTTACACTGTGCACTGTCGTAATATGTATGGTGTAGGATGATGCGTTTACGTTCTCGAACGCTTCAAATTGTCTTGCCTTTCTTGCATGTTCGACGTGTCTACACGGTTTAATAATGAAGCTGCTGTTAACGTTAATTGTGCACGAGAGTTCAACCAATTTGATAAGACGATGCTATGAAACATGATTGGTTTATCTGTCCGAAAATCGCCATGAGTTTGTAATTAATTTATAACGAAGCAGACGAGAATTTGCCTCATCCAAATTACTTATTCCTGTCGGTAGTCACATCCACGGAGTATCATTATCGATCTCTTGAAGTAGTTTAAATATACCTCACGTGTTTAGCTTTTTACAAAAAAGTTTATTACCTGTATCCCCTCATACAACCAGGGCTACGCTGTGCCGATAAAAGTAACATTTTCAAGCCAGTTTTGCGTCAAATGGCTTTGCAAAACAAAGAAAATCTCAAGAATGGATTCAACAACCATTTCAAAACTTTACCATTTGGAATTTATAACGACATGGGACACCACATTTGAGAATTCATGAACAATGGCGAGGGAGGTGCCAGTAATTGCGGCGTCTTTTTTCTCAAAAATGTGCCGGACTAGGAAACTCTCACCGATTCAAACTAACATTTATCGTCTCTAATTACCAGCGCCCACATATCATCTGTCTTCATCAAGAAACTAAGTGCGATTAGAAATATGCGCTTATCTGAGCCAATTGCAATTCATCACCATCTTTCCTCTTACACAGGCCTTTGCTGGTTTGCTGTAATTAACAGGCGATCTAGTCACCTCTGACATTACCACACCTTCACGCAAGGGCAGATCGACATTTCGAACAAAATTGACCGTCAAACTCATTGGTTCGGGTTCACACAGGCTCTCTATAAACTGATGTTGTGCCTAGGTCATTAGTGGATAATTGTGTCCACTTCACCATGTTGGAGTCGGGGAGATAAAGGGTTATAAGCTACGGTAATGCTGACAAAAAGATAATTAAAGTGGGCATTCATCCAAGTCGAAAGACGCTGCAGATACTGACCAGCAGCCATTTTTAAACCGCGCGAAAATCGCAGAAGTCTTAGACCATGAGGGGCTTTTCGAACAGCATATCAATGGTTTGACTTTTACCGAAGTCGTGATTTGTACGTGCGAATCAAACGTGGCGCCACAGATCTTAGTGAAGGTTCAACTGGTTACCAAGGTGTCGGACTCGATAGAAGCACAATGCAGTACTCAAACTATTCACCGAGTATATCACCGGAATACACACAGTCTGAACGTGGATGTAAATATCGACATTTACTGACCTTGTCGTGGTCTTTCTCATTCAGCAAGATCATGTCTCGATCTCATCAGGTGATTAACTAGCAAACGAGAGATTTTAAACAGCCCAAATTCACGGTTCCATCATTACAGTCTCTGCACCTTTGATTGTTGGTCGCTTTGGATTGTAGTAACCACAAATCAAATCAAAATTAACATGTCTTTTGAGGGGTTCCTTTAAGCGCTAATATGAAGTGCCTTGAAAAGTGATTGGTTACCTTTGTATAAGCCATGTCAGAGACAGGTCGCTTGGTTTGAATGTTTTCGAGCTGTTGGAGACACCATTCAAGCTCTTTCTTGGTGGCTGCAGCGAGAAGGTCGTAGTTTTCCGCTGGAATAACAAACAGTCATTATGTGTACTTGCTATTAACATGACAGGAGACCCTTCCTCAGGGTCAAATCCGATTACGCAAAGCTGATTGGCTAGACAGTGTACACAAAATGCACCATTCCGAAATTAATTTATTCGCATGCGGAAATTGATGTATCCACATGAAAGAGGTGCTAGAAACCTGCGTTGTGTCCCACCAAACCTTTACGATGACGTGTAGGCATTTATATCACTTAATGTGGGTTTCTCGCAAGAACATTGGCAGTTATTTGTATGGGTGGGGGCTGTGTTTCGTTGCCTACAATCACCCAAGCACAAATAGTACTCGTGTAACATGGAGGTTCCTGTCTACTTAAAGGTGCGTCGTTTCGATAGCACCGCTGAAAAGCAAGTAAACTCTACCAAACATGAATGACTCCTACTGTTCCATTCAGTGGCAAGACATTTCCGCTAAAGCGGTCGGAAAAACCCTAATTTTTGTGCAAGTTTGTTCTGAAATTTAATGCGATTAAGTAGTAAATCGGCGATCGTATACCAGTCGTAAGTCAACAGGACTAAATCCAGACAGACCAGGGGGATCCAGCAGAATTCCTTGTACAAAAAAATTCTGAATAGTCATCTGATCTGCTTCGGTTGTTTTATCGATTTGATTAGCTAATTTGGGCGCTTTTTTGGACCTCTATTCTCGAATGTCCTGAAACCACTTCAGGATCAGTTTCTTTCTAAAGGGATCGGCACCTAGTAAACAAGCATTTGTTCCGGCTATTCACTGCGCAACTGGATTCACGTCGAATACCTAGAGCAGCGAATTTGTAAACTGATGAAATCTCAACCTCATCTGCCAATCGCAGCTTCTTACCGTTCAAAGATTGTCTTTTTTCCAACGTGTTCACAAGACACTTGAACCCACCTACGACGGGCCTTTGAGCGCGATCACACGAAATGACGTCGAGCACAAACGGAAAGAACGTGACAGTCTCCACCTGCCGTTTTTCCACATTATGACACTTCTAACCGGTAAGCCTCAGTCGAAGCCAATCCTTGTCTCTACCAAGTACCGACAGACTATCACACCTCACCGTCTAGTAGATGGCCGTGTTTTGCGGCTCAGCTCACGATCAGTTTTTGTGCTACAACATTTATGCTGTCGCTTACCTGACACGGGCGATGGTGTGTCCTTATCACCGGTTTTCCAAAACGCACCATGTTCCGACCTAGACCAAAAATAAACTATTTTTGAGGCAAATATAAAGACAACAAGAAAAGCTTTGTCCAAAACTGGATGAACACTCTGAACCATTGAAAGCTTAAATTTCAGCGGTACCGGAAAATTTGCCAGGACACCAATTTTAATAAATCAAAAAATTGAATAAACTTGGTAAAATCTTGTCAGTGTCACCTGTCTTTCTAAAATCAGGCTATTAGGGCTGGTGATTATCGCACAAAACTAAACCTTGTCAACTCGAGTTGACAGGCCGTCGATTACTCTCAAAATCTAGCATTCAGAAACCATTCTGGCGTCGCATTTTCCATTAACTATCACCCAGTACCTCCCTGTTTGCGATAGACACACCTAGTCACCCACAATCCAGTCATCCATTCCACAAAAAATGGAAATCATTTGGGTGTGGTGATTTTTGGTATGATTGTATTGAGTGTTTACGAATTTTAAACAGCGCACCTAAATTAAACGTGTCTTGGTGGTGTGTGTGTGTGTATTAGGTTGATTTCATTCACTGACCTGGTGGTGATGCTCTGGAGCTCATTGAAGCGTGAAAGTAAAACAAACAGAAAAGACGCGCGTCGCCTAGTTACAACTGTGCTCAACAATGATTGGCTGATTGTTTGTGCAAATTACACGTTGAAAGCAGTGAAAATACATGTACCGGCCAAGAGATAGAGAAATAGGTGTTAAAAACCCAAAAAAGTGGGTTCACAGGTACCGCAATTTGTGAAATTTCGTTGCGCTGGATTATCTCTAGGCTGTGAATTCTGGCCAATACGAAACTTAAAGGAAGTGGACTTAAATGAGAGGTGGGAATCATTGTTTACATTGCGTTACACACCCATTTCACCTTAAAGACATTTCCACATGGGAGTGTGTGTGAGTGCTACCTCGTCACCTGGTCGTGGATGAACGAAGGTCTCACGGGCATTGAGAGATAAGAGGAAAGGGGGTGCTAATTGCAGTCCAAACACGACCGAAACGGAACCCTGTACTTGACAAAGAAACGCTACTGAAGAAGCGGCAATTTCCAACAAAATCCTGGATGTATCTGTGGAATATTTCCTTGCACTGAATGAGTAGAATTGTGGATGTCGTGGACAAAGTGTGTCAAGATGGTGGTAGTCTGGGGAATCGTGAAAGTTCGAAGTGAGAAAGCTGTGGTTGGTTGAAAGCTTCTGTGGAAAACGTGCTAGATTACTTCGTCAACTATCCATGAAAGCATAAGCTTGAAGATTTTCTAGTTGTAGTTTTATCCCTTTGTTTGTTTCAGTGAAATCTTTATCGTGGTGAAAGGTATTGTGTAGCCCAAGACAAACCAGTTTCCGCAAAATTTGACAAAGTTTTAAAACTAAACCGATTCAAATTGGATGTTTTTTTTAAAATGTTTTACAAAAAAGTTGCCTACTTCGTAAATTTCGAAGTTGCAAACTACCGACATTAACCCTAGTCCAGCGTAACGATGAAAAAATGCACACCGCTTAATCTGAACGTACAGCTGGCCAATATTTTCGTTACTCACATCCACTCTTTGAGTCACGTAAGTTAACACTTTAAAAACTTACAGAATCGGCATATGCATCTAAAATTGCCATGGCAACCACGTTACGTAACCCAATCGGGCGCAAAGTTGATGGAGAATACGTATTTTGATTGGTCACACGTTACACACGAACGAAACCAACTAGAGGTTCTCTCAACTAAGTGTGTGGCATTCGATTGTCTGGTGAACCCATCTCACTGGGAGTGCTATTTCTAGCCTCTCATACAACCGTGACGTCTGTACAAAACAACCTCATTTACTTCACCTCCCTCATTATTATCGTTGCATGTGTTTCAGCACGTAATGACACGTTTTGAATGGCTCAATAATTTGTAGACGTGTTCAGTTTTCATCATAAAATAATTTTGGTGATTCAATTTAACAATACCCAAACTAATTGTTAGCGAGAACGAATACCACGTTTTCCAGATTAATGCCACTAATTCGTTGCCTTTGGTTTTGAAATATTTAAAGGGGTTTAAAAGATATGTGAACAAAAAGCTGCTCTGTATGTCCTATTAAAAAAGATTTAGCGTGGTTATCTGAACCAAAAGGTCGGTAGTTTTTTAAGATAGGCAGGGGATGGACATATTTCGTGAGGGTAAAACACAATTTGCCGAATTCTGGGCCAACAAAGACAGAGAAGTGTACATGCTTGTCACTGTCTTTTTCCATCTTAAATGGACCCTTGCGAAATGTTCTGAATTAAATTGAGATAACGACAGATAATTGACACACATGATCTAGGAGCATGTTCGTGTGAACCGTAGAATCAGAATATCGTTAATTTTAATACGACGGGAAACAAAGCAAACACATTTTAATTTTGAGCTGGGAATTGGCAACCTACTTCCTGCAAATTTATTCTATTTCTTAAAAAACTGCTTATTTGGCCAATGAAATGTTTGAATTGTTGCCACCTGAATGCAACTGGAACTACCGAAACATCGCTTTAATTACAAAAGTAGCTACCGCTCCGAAGGGAGTTGCATAACAGAGGGTTTCAAAAATTTTGGACGGATCACATCCCAGCGATTGCGTGAACAGGATGTCAACCTATCGGATGGAGGACCACTAACACAGTGACGAACCTAATTGGCCAGCACAGTCGACTTGGGAAGATGATTTGCTAGTTCAGCTGTTGTAGAACGGGAACGTAACTTTTTACACGAATTTTACCTCCTGGTACTTAACCATAGTTTGTGGATCTGATTAAAAATGCCATCTCTAAATGTTGGTACTAATTGTCACTTTGTCAAGGTACAAAACCTCTTCAACACTGCGTCATCAGAAAAACATAGAGAACACACCAAACACGCTAGGTTTCACTATTTTTAGAGTGCGCCAAAATATCCACCAATCAGGCAGCAGCTGAGGATCAGGGCTTGCAAAATTGTGACCCATTTCCAGTCACATCTGTAGTGTTCAGCAAAAAGGAGGCTCGGTAATCTCTCGTCTGGCTGCGTGCATTTCCAGTTTTCGTTTAAACACTGGAGAAAACTACTTAGATGATGTCGGTGGTTGGTGTTTTAATTTGTCGCAGTATCTGCCGAGTGACGCACTTTTGTTTTAATGTGTCGGCAAACAGAGAAGGAGGTTATTGCCGTTTCAGGACTTTTTAACCGGTGGCACACAAAAGTGATTTGCTCTTGAGACAGAAAAGCAAACAGTAAAAAGGACATAGTCATCAAAAAGAAAGCGGCAGAGTTTAACACATTTCCTAAAATCTGATTGGTGAAAACGTCGAAAGAGAAAGTGGTTAATTTTAAAAAAGCCGTCGACAGATAACTAGGAGCTTCTGAGGTGTGTTATGAACATCAACGCCTGATTTAGATCACTAGTTAGCACGGAAAAACGAAGTATTAACTGCTCAGAATCATGAAAACGATGTGGCGCCGATATGCAAAGATTTCTGCAACCGTTTTCCTTGTAATAGTGGCTTACAAGTGTATCCAGTGGTAATGCGGACGGATACTAGTACTGTTAAAAGTGCAATTTAATCAGTTTTGTGCAAAAAATTTTAAAAATTTACTAGGCATTTGACAAGCTGACGACTGAATTATGAGCATACAAATATGCATGAGTTTGTGTGGTCAGCTATCAGCTCCGCTTACTATTTTCCGAGTCCACACAAGACCACATTTTCTGGCTTAATTAAAGCAAATGTCGTGATTAATCTTGTCATACTGCTCACAAATGCGTTAAAAATCCAGTCCATAGTAAATGTTTTCAAAAAAATGTCGTGCTGTCTGGATATTAAAAAAATATTTCAATAGCTTTACGACGGATAAATGCCGAAAACGTCCCCACTTAAAATCTCCAGGGGGCTTGTGGACGCACCCCTATAATTATGGTGCATTTAATAACACGATCCCACTCAGCACTCATGTGGAATAATTTTCTCTTTTCACCCAACAGTAACGGCCGGCGGAGGAGAGTGTTAGACATAAAAAGTTATCTCAATGATATGTGGGAATCCATGCAACAAAAGCAGCTGCCGCGGTTAACATGTGGAACGACGCTTCAGGACTCAACGCCAGTGACTAGGCATTAGACGCGTCCATTTTTCTTCTATACTTAGCTGCATTATGCTCACGCCGTCGCTTATTTTGATGGTTCACCAAGCAAAACAGGTTTTCTGTGCGTCGCCCTTTTAATACAAGCTTGAAACTCACGAATAAGGCGTTTTAACCACGGTATTAAGCCACACCGTAAGTCCATTAGCCGCTAGTCATTTAATCGCCCCAAAACGCGACCAAACGTTGTCGAAATTTCCAAAATTAAAGCAATATTTTAAAATGCGTTTATCATTGCTGTGTCAGAGTTAAATATACCGCTTGCAGCAACACAGAAGTGCTCCAAGCAAATAAAGCACACCCAAACTTTGTAAAGTGTGAATTCTCAACGTGCGTTTGTTCCACGACTGTAGAAACAGGAGCAGGTTTGGAGGAAACATAAGACGTTGTAAAAAGAGAGCTGTTTGTGCAGGAAAAAATGGACCTGAATGACCGGAAGTTGTAAATGCGTTAGCGAACCACGTTACCAAAGCATTAAACTACTGATCAGTGAAATTTTGGTGAGGTGCCAGCCTGCGACTATCTAAGCCAGCACGATCAATATAAGCATCCAAATGTTAAGTAATTCCAGCATTCGTCTAAGAAAACCTTACCCAGATTTGCTTGTATGATGATCGGTGAGCCAGCCTATATTCGTCTGCACTGAGCGTAATCCAGCGAGAATTTGGGCAAACGGTGTAACAATAAACGTCTCATCCAGAAACTTCTCCTTTCCAGAGTGACTTTCGTTGACAGAGGGACTGGGAACAGTTGCAGAGGGGGTTGTAGATGAGACAATCTTGGAACTCTCCGCAGACTGCTGACTAGTCAGCGAGCTAAGGGGCAAGGGTCGGCCAGCACGAACGAGCTGGGAGCCACGTCGAATGACCACGGCGGTGTGCGTGGGGTAAAGGCGGGTGGACGCACGGGTTGGTTTTGAGTTGAAGAAGTTGGGGAAAGTGCGGTTGGCGTCGCAGTTAGCTTCCATGTATCGCGGCGAGATACTGCCAACCTCGATGTCGAGAGAGTGATTACGCATGGCTACGTAGGCGTCGGTGGATGGCTGAGTAGCTAAGCTCTCCAGTCTACAGCGTGGTTGTCCGTCCAGGTCAAAGGTCACCGGGGGTCGTATGGACTTCGGCGTTTCCACTTGGCCAGAGGTGCGCGCGGTGAAGGACTCGTCCATCTCTGGTTTGGCTATGGACGGAGACGTGGCTAGTTCCGAGTCGTCTACGCTCTCACCGATTGTCGTGCTGCGTCGTCCGGCTGAAGCCTTCTTACTCCACGGCCACCTACGCATGCACGTCGTGGAGTCACCGGTGCAGCCGCAAAGCTTCGGCATTGTGGCGGGATTAAAAAAAATTTAAAAAAATACGGGAGAAATCTCCCCGTGGATGGTAGCACAATGATTCCCCGTAGAAATTAATGGGGTGCATTATGTGATCTCACTTAATACATAATGCACTGCGAATAGCACATGGGAGCAAACCAACCAACGCTGTCACCTCGACAAGGTCACCGCACGAAAAGAACATGCACGCACGCACTAGGTATTGAAACCCAAAGCCAGACACTCATGCGTGCGCGTGTGCTACCAAGAGCTTTACCATGATTGGCTCATTCTTGCCATTCACTGCCTAACGTCATTGGGTACTCGTTTTAGACTGTATCTTGCCTCCGTGTGATTGGTAGATTAACAAACCAACGATAAACAGGCAGTGTGCACTGCTTGTTTGACGTATCATTAGAGCTTTTCGCACAATTGCAGCCCGCTATCCTTTATTCCAAAGTCATCAATTGGCATTTCCGTATTTTGATCAAATCGGCATCAACATTTGCTCGAATCCTTGAGAGGGGTCATCATCGCTTTGTGATTGGTCAGTTCCAAAAATCTAGTGGCTCTTCCTCCGCAAAACTTCATTCAGAGAAGCGAAAAGCAAATTGATTTGTTTTTGTAAACAACAATTGTTTACGACGCTTTCATTTCCTTTATAAGATAGGCATGCCGAGACCGATTAGCTAGCGGCAGTAGTGTTGCTGAAAGCATTAGTGTAGCATACTAACACTGAAAACGGGTTTAAGAGGTGAGCAGTGACAATTCTGTCTGGCCAACAAATTTGAACTGGTGCCTATCAGTCGAAACAGAGGATTAAAACAACCGGACCGGGTCAGAGTAACACGGTACAGGTTTAAATCTTAAAGTGGAGACTTATTGAGGCTCGTTTTGGGACAAATCGTTGCCTTGTAAATGCACAATTTTCATTGGCTGTTTCTTGTGAAACTTTCTGACTAAAAGTGGTGTTATTCAGGGCAAAAACGGGCGGTAAATCTAACGAAGTCCGTGTTGGACGATTAAAACAGGTATAAATTCCAACAATTGAATATTGTTTTTCCTTTAAGTTATTTGACCATTCTCTTCAAACAATCTTGAATATTTGATTTTCTAAAACTGATCGCAGTAGCCAAGTTTTGCACAAGTGCCTCACGAACCGTCTTAAGTAATTCAGAATCATTTGATCAGCAAATAAATTCTTGGCTTCGTGTTTACCATCAGTTATCGTGGATAATTAGTCTGCCTTCACAAGCATTGAATAACTGATGTTTCTTGGCCAAATTTGCTCGATGTTAGAAGGATGGACTTCATAACAAATCTGACGCAATGTATAGCTTTTGTCACTTAATGATTTTTAACTTTAACAAAGAGTGAGGCAGAAATTTAGGTATAAAACACTTATATCTTTAAGTTTTGGCCGAAATTTTGCTCTCAGGTTAGATTATAAGGGGTTTTAGTCAAATCTTCAAAGTAGTGACTTCATTTTAAACAATGAGCATTGTTGGTGGCATTACCTGTGATTTAGTGAATAGTGGATCATCCAAAGATAACCCCTGATGTAATTGCCGAGGGACTGCACAGTGACAACTCTTCTGTATTTCAGCACTTTGAAAATTCGTACATTTTGACGGAACTTAACAAACTCATAATCTTTGCCTGTTAATAAAACAAGCCTTTTCATGGATCAGATCATTAATTCGAATGATACATTGTTTGGGTATTACACCACAATGAGAAATCGAAGCAGGGAATTGAAGGAGTCTAAGGAGACAGCGGAATCGCTGAATTCAATGGAGGTGATGTTGTGACTAGCGGGGGAATTTCAGAGAGATGCTTTTGGAACAATAATTGCCGCACTTGAGAACTGTGAGCAATTTACTCAACACAAATTTGAAATCGAAACAGGACATGGAGCACTAGACGAGGCATCATGCTTCACTATGGCAACGCTAGATCGTGTTACTTAACAGATACGCGTATTCAATAGACACTCATCGTGTTTCCCATGTACTTGTTGCTTCACATTTTTTACCTCTTTCGTTCTCAGAGGAACAACTCTAATTTTTTGGTTCGTTACAAGGAGTCACAAACTACACTACATTAGAACAAACGGAACGCAAAACAGCCAATTTGCAGAATTAATGGGTTTAAGACATTACAAAATGTTAAGAGCCGGTTGCAGGAACAGGTCTGAATCTTTCAATCACCGGATAATTGACTCAAGCTCTTTTGAATTTCGCTGCATGAAATTTCAACCACACTAAGCCCATTTATTGACTAATCGGTGCAATTTTGTTAAACACCAAAGCAAATATGGCCGTGTCCGAACCACATTATTTCATCTCCATAGTTGGCAACATTTATCGATTCCAGAGGCGCACGTGGAAGAGGCAGCGTCCAGCCTCGGTTCTAATCAATAGAGGTTGGATGGCCCATAAGTTTGGAGGGGAATAACCCCAGCTAGGGATACTTGCGAGCACAAATCCTAATCGATACGGTCACACTGTTTGAATTGTACCTTGACATGACAATATGCGTTCTGAAACCTGACATTTCAGTGCCTTTTTTGCTGTCCAGTGCCCAGTAATGCATGGGCAGACATTTGAGATTAATCGAGTTTATGTATCTAAGAGCATAACCATTTGCTACAAGTGTTTGATGTGTTTCACATTTAATTTGCCTTCGTACACTCCGGGCAGCATATATTTAGCCTGGCTTTTCTCTTCTGCAACAACTCGTGGAGGACTTCTTCAGGCAAAATCCGCATTCAAATTGAATAATTGTCCGCTAACTTCGTCCCTTACAGTGCCCAGTAACAATTTTTGAAATATCTGGGGTAGAAAATTTGAGAAAAATCGTCCATACTCGACCATACTTGACCAACCGTTGAGGTTAAATTCGCCTGTCCGGTGCTGCCGCCTTCCTCATTTGCTGCCTACTTTGCCCATCGTGAAAAAAATCAGCTTATTTGTTTCATTTTGACTAAAACGCTTATCAAAACCACCAACTCTTTCATCCCGGGGTCGATGATTTTTGGAAATATTTTGTGGAAAGCAGCTTGATTTCACTTGTGCCTGGTTGATTCGAGTGTACTAATGCATACCAACTAGTTGGCATGCTAACGGGGGATTATTAGAAGGACTGACACCTATTCCAAGTCTGTGATTTACGATTACGACCAAGCAACCTCAGAAAATATGCCATTCTAGTAAAATGCGACTTGTGTTCCTCGCGCTGCAAGAATTACACAAGGAGAGCGTATATCAACACACTTTTTACCCTCAATTACACGTCATATTTGACGTCTTATCTTTAAATTGCGTCATTTTAGATTGCCGACAACTTGATACGGTGTCTCGTTTCCTAAATGTTGTCATTAGTGAGTCATAAATAACTTAAAGACCAGAATTTCAGACACAGTCCTGGAAATCCAGATTGCGAACCTCTAGTCCTTAGCGTGCAATGTTTGTTTAAGAAAATTAATGCTAAATTGCACATTTAAAGCACTCTGAATTTGAAACTGCACTCCAGGGTCGTACCCAAAACTGCCGCAACTGCTTATGATTGGTTGGACTTAACTGCCAACCACCGGCAATTATTCATTCCTTACTTAGAGATTTCATGGTAAACACGCAAGTTATTGTTCTTCCTCATTCTGGTTGTCGCACGGGTTGAGCAATCATCATGATCTGGGTCAGTTTAAGAGACTTCCACAACATGCCGCTGGTTTCCTCAAAGGCTACGATGCATCTTTCAGACGAATCGTCGAACAATCCGTTGTACCGAATGCCTCACACGTCATGTTTGTCTCAAAAATTCGATTTAACATTCGAAATTCTGCGCGTAGCTGCAGCTGCCTTCATCACAATGATCTGTTCAACGGCCTGTCCGCCATGTGCTTCAAGTGTTGGCAATAAATCGTGCCATTTTCTGATGCCAACAGAGCACATTCACTACATTTAAAACCTGACTGATAGATACCACTTTTACTGTTTGAGTAGAAGCTCCAGCCTTCCTGAGCCATCTTGCGACGGCGTAGGGTTGGCCACTCGAATTCAAGGTCACTGTGTTGCGTATTCATGTGCACTTGTGCGGACAATGCTGGTTGGCTGTGTGTTTGTGAACCAATGATAGGTGCGGGAGAAGGGAAAAGATCTTAGGTATTTACCGTTTTCATACTCATTGACTTAATTATCCACTTACCATTAATATCTATTGACCAATGGCTAAGCACTTAGCTAAGCTAACAGCCCGTCTTGTATTGGTGGCAGATGCTTACATTATTTAGACGAATCCCCTGTAGCAATATTTCTCCTGAAAACGTTGTTACTTAAATAGCAATAAGTACTGTCATTTTCCATGACTGTTTAAGTAATCAACCATTTCAAGGTACGGATAGTAGCACGAAATTTAAATGTGATAGTGTCTTTCTGCTGTTAAAGTAATTACCGTGGATCCAATTTAAAGCAGTCGGAATGTAACCTCGTAGGGTCATGTGGGACTGTGATGACGCTCACGTGGGTGCATTAATTTTTTGCTACATCATTTTACCAAAGCATTCTGATGAAATTCAAGGTCAAAGAATTGGTTTGAGGCCCAGCCTCTAACTAGCTTTAACGATTCCGATTGGGAGTTTTTTTTTCTTTAACCCAGCAAATGGTCAACAATCTGTGTTAGCGCACTAGTGACTGTCAAAGATCATTGGCAGTGGGAACGCGATCTTTCATTGGGCCGCAGAATGTGCGTCATGATTGGTTAAGATGCTCGAAATCTGTCAGCATTTAAACCCATCTTTGTCATTTCATGTAATTGGTCTTTTGATTTCAATAAATGTCAGAATATGTCAAATTTTGGTCTCACTTGTGCAGTAAAGCTCACCTTCTGTGGGATCATTTTTCCCTGATTTGGCCAATTGTTCTACTTAGTGGTTAATCAGTAGCATATTTTAAGTTCCAGTGACTCGAGGGTCCGTTTCATGTAAAAATTCCTGTCGCTATCTTACTTAAATT